TAGTTAAGCAAATTTGATACTTGCTCGTTATGCTTTCAATCGTATATTCACATGTGCATTGTTCATATTCTAGCATTATTGACTGATTGTGCATTGTTCCTCTTGGTAGGGCATAGAAGATGATATTTCTATTGTCATGCCAGGTGCAAACCACAGGTTTTACCTAAGGCATCTCTACAACAACTTGAAGAAATTCTAGGGAAAAGTGTTGAAAGCTACAACATGGTTAATTGGCGGGGCATATATAAGGCATGGCTTTCAACAAAACATGTAGACTGTTAAGTGTTATTCCAAAGGAGGCTTATGGGTGACTTGCTAGAGTACCCTTGGAGACTTAGTTCAGGCATGGGTTTGATTTCATTGTCAAATCTGATGATCTTATTAACCATAGTTTTCAAAACCGGATCGGAAAAACTAGGAACCGGTCATCTGACCGGTTTTGTTTTCCTCCAAAACCACTTTTTCCCTGAAAATCGTTGATTGTGGTCAGTAAACCGTTGAACCGGCCGATTAACCGTTCGAACCATTCAAACGGTTTTGACCGTTTTCCAATTTTTTATTTATTTTTTGTTAGAATGGGCCGGCCGTTTGGGTCGAACGGTCAAACCGTTCAAATCGATAACCGGACTCCTGACCGGTTCGTTTTTAAAAACCATGTTACTAACAACTAGATAGTCTTTCAATTTTTAAATTGGGAATGCTAGAAGAAAGCCAATTGTTCAGCTCTTAGATGACAATAGAAAACATTTTAGGTAATTTTTTATACTTTCATTTGATGTTTGTAATACTGATTATGCATGTGTGTATATAAGAGCAATACTAGAATAATGAGAAGGGAATGACTTAGTCAAGAATTGACTGGTCTCTTGAATCATTTAAATAGAGAATTGGTTACAAGAGGATAACTATGTACAGATGATAACAATTACAGAGTTAGAGTTTATCTAGGAAATTATCAGATAATAAGCTACATGATAATGAGATAAGGTGATCAGTTATCTAGAATAGCTATCAGAGATAACGATCCTAGTTACGAGTCTATCATAAGTACTGAGATACTCTAACAGTGTAAATGTAATCTTGATTGTCCATGTGTATAGATTTGTTAGAGTGATAAAGGTTTGGCATGTATAATTATCAGATTGTGGGTGATAATGGCGTGGATAATGTCACAATGATGGACATAAGAACATACACATGCCGGGTGTGGGATGTTAGTAGCATTCCATGTGCACATGCATTGGCTATGCTTGCATACACCAGCGATAGAATTGAAGATAGATTTTTGTGACAAGGCATTCCTTAAATCCACCTACAATCATTTGTCCAAGCTATTCCTAGAGAAAAATATTGGCCACGGGTATGAGATTAGGCAACCAATCCTCTAAAGTTGAGAAGAAAGATTGGGCGACCACCAATAGTCCGAAGGAGGAAGGTGAAGCAGGCCTGTATACCACGAAAATTTTGAATGAAGAACAGTTAAATGTTCTTTATGCAAAGGGTATAATCATAACAGAAGGAACTGTTGTACTTCTCCTAGTGCCACCACAAAAGCAAAGGTAATATGGGCAAAACTAATCATTTGGTTTCTTAAATTTATACTTCAGAGGCGTAGAGTTGGTGATTCTCAATCAGGTTGAATGGTACCTCTATCCTCCAAGGAGGTGTACTCTAGGTGTAATGCTTCAACCTGTCGAGGTTGTGGGTTGTTCTTCCTGGTCAACTCCTATACAATCAATGTATGAAGTTTGGTTCTTCTTCCAGGTAAGCTCTTGCAACAGTATATGTGGCTGGTTCTTCATCCAATGGGAATTGACTTTTAATTATTTAAGTATGTCCAGGTTTGGAAACCATGTAGCATGTAGTCAGGAAATCAGATACTCCCAACCTTGAATACCCATTTCTTTTCATTTATGTAATTAACAGATCATGAACAATGTATAAATGACAGTCCTAGGTCACCATGCCACAACCACTCTTTTTTTTTTTTTTTCTTTTTTTTATATGTGTGTGTGCATATAAATGACCGTCCTAGGTGATCACCATGACATAACCACTTTTTTTGTATACAAACTTGACCGTCTTAGGCCACCAAATTATCATGGATAGCAGATATGGCCATGTTTTTTGTTAGGAAAACAATTTATTAAACTATGGTTTATATGGTTATGGGCTGAACTATGGTTTATATGGGTATGAGTTGAACCATAGTTATATTTCATGTTTGCTGAAATATGATAATGTATATTTTTTTGCTAATGTTGGATGTATGACCGGCAATATTGTGCTTGATTCAAGGATTAAAGTATCAATATGATACACCTAATACGGGGGTGTATCATGTCCATATCCATGCTCACTGGCACAGGATACACTATAACTCTATGCATATACTGCCAATCGTGTGTTTCGGTGCGATATGCCACTGTATCAGTGCATATCACACTGTATTGGTGGATATGGCTCGATATTCACCAATGCGGAGGTGTATTGGACCGTAATTTGATGACATATTCAAACCTTGATTTAAGATTTAATTTTTCCCAAAAATTTAATAAGAACTAAAAATTATAAAATTAATTTATTTTATTTATCTTAAATGAGTTATATATTTTATTTTACATATTAATTATATGTTGAAAATGAAAAAATATTTATTATTTAGAAAAATATAGTTAATATTTATATAAAAAATACTAAATAAATAAAATTTCCTAAAACTTTTAATAAAAATCTTAAATTATAATTATAAAACCTGAACTAAATTATTTAAAAGTTAATTTTCCCCAAAATTTTAGTAAAAACTGAAAATTATAAAAATAATTTATTTTATCTACCTTAAATGATTTATATGTTTTATTTTAAAATTATATGTAAAATAAACAATTTTATGTTAAAAGTAAAATATGTTTATTATTTTAAAAATAAAGATTATTTATATAAAAACATTAAATAAAAAAATTTCCCAAAAATAATAAGAATTAAAAATTATAATTATAAAAACTGAAATAGATTGATAATTATTGTATGATTTGTACATCTTCTAGAGTCATGGTATTGTTTATTGTAATGTTTCTCTTCATATAACCTATTAAAGTGTGCAGTTCTCATGTATTTATGCCTCATGTATAGTTAATTCAGCTTTAGATTTAGTGTTATTAATATATTTATATGATTTATATGGATTTTCCTAGCATATCCAAGCACTTTCATATCTTTCATGCATATCCATACGTTTTCAAAGTGTATCTATATCCGTATCCGAGCTGTTTGATACAATACTCAATACCAATACTTTAGTCTTTGCCTTGACTATGATTGATTAGGATAGAACATGCTATCATATTAGAGAGACTTGTTATTGATCATCTGATCAAGATAGAATACATTATCACAGGTTGGTATCACTTTGGTTTCATAACACTGGACATGTGTTGGACTGGCATCCAACACATTGGGTTGGTTTTATTGGTTTTGTTATGATCTAGTTAAAAAGTTGCATATGCTGGTTTTGATGTGTTGGATTGACTTCCATCCCTTCCAAACTTGTTTAAATTTCATAGCAGGTGTTATTGTTCCTCGAAGTGGTTCCATTGAAATAAGACCTTGTCTCATAAGGACATGCTACTGAACTTAGGGATGACAATTTTTACCCTACCTAGTGGGTACTTGTCCCAATGGTTTTTTTTTTTTTTCTGCTTAAAGGATAGGTTTTGGGGCAAGGATGGGTTTTGGGATTCTATGACCCAAATGGGTATGGGTAAGATACGGTATTAGGCTAAACTTGACCCTCCATGATCCACATATTGTTGGAAAGCATATAAATTTTACCTACTAGGTATTGAGTTTAATAATGTTTTGATTTTATGTGAAGGATAATTGATAGTTTGTCTTTTTTACATGTCTTAATCAAATAATTGAAAATTTTATTATCTATTTTTGTTATTTTACTTATTTATTGGTTATATATAACAAGAAATAATAAGAAATTAAATGTAGGCTCTAAACCCAACCTGCTTCTACCCTTGAATGCAAAGAGGATAGGGTCAGGAAGGTCTTACATTTTCATATGCAGAGAGAATTTGGCTTTTCTAAGTCTGACCTGCTACGGGTTTTGGGGTGGGTGTTGGGAGATTTAGGGAGGCAAATAAGATCTAAATTTACAAAATCCTCCCGAACCCATCCCATTGCCATGCTAACTGCAGTTTTAGTCCATTTGGATATGGACTTAGATTTACTAATGCAGTTTTAGTCCACTTGGACATGGACTCAGTTTTAGCCTATTTGGACATGTTACCATTGCAATATGAGGTCTTACTGTTCATGGGAGTGGTTCCAGGTCTTATTGTAGCAGTTTTAGTCCATTTTAGTCCATTTAGACATGTGCTATTACTGTAGTTTTGGTATTATACCGTAGTTTTAGTCCATTTAGATGAGGAATGGAAACATCAAGAACGCACATTGAGAGAGAGAGAGAGCATCTAATTAATAATCTGACGGATTGAGAATTTGAGTTTTGACTCCATCGGATACTATTAAAATTTTCACCCGATTATATTATAATATTTATTGATTTTATTATATATGAACTTATATAATAAATTTAATATGTTATATTTATATAAATTTATTATATATAATCGGAATAGGTTTAAATACAAGCCGAAGTCTTTAAATCCGATTGAATTTGAACACAAAATTTCAATAATTTAATCGGATTCGGATTTTGCTGAATCCGATTCGCTTGTAGGGTGGGCCATTCTCTATTTTATTGAAAAAATTTGACCTTGAATCTTCTGTCCACAAAAATTCTACTACGTCTATTCACAGCACACTAAAGAGAATGAGATGTTGTGGCAGCAACCAGCAATGATACGTGGTAGATGTGGACAGGAGCTCCGGACTCAAAAATTTTCTCAATTGCCCCAAGATGCTTACAGTGATCTATCACATGACGCGTGTAATCAAATAAGAGGAGATGTAAAGTGCTGCGTGGCGCGTTCCAAACTCAGGCGCAATTTCTAAGACCAACGGTAATGCTTCACTTCAATTTTTGTGGTGGAGATAAAAGTTAACTACTTCGCGATCATGGCTGATGGCACCGCTGGTTTTCGAAATTTATCCACCAAACCCCATTTCAGATATTCGTCTGGAATGAAAAACCATCAAAAGAGGCGTGGTTTCACATATTTCGGAATTCAGCATCAAAATGACTGCTACAGCTCCTGCTTCTCCTCCTGCTTTTTGCAACAATCTGCACTATAATCAGAAACAGAAACCCGGGATGATCTCGTTCTTGTCTTCCACCTCCTCGTCTGCTTTGTCTTCCTCCGAATTCTTGGGTCTTTTCCTTCCCAGTCCCAATTCCAAGCGTTCGAAGAGCCGGTGGTGTGTCCACGGACAGACCTCCTTGGTTTTTCCCAGGGCCGAGATTGGTAAGGAGAAGAAGGTCGACGAAGATGATAAACAGCCATCGGTTTCCATCACACTTGATGATGTTAATCCGGTTGGACTAGGCCGTCGATCTCGTCAGATATTTGATGAGGTCTGGCGCAAGTTTTCCGAGCTGGGTCAGATTTCCAGGACCCGCACTGATGAGAGCCTTGACACAGTCCTCATCAGGGAGGGTCCCATGTGTGAGTTCAGCATTCCAGGGGCTCAAAATACCACCGTGCTTGTTGTAGGAACCACCAGCAGAATTGGTCGGGTTGTCGTCCGCAAACTGATGCTCAGAGGATATAACGTCAAGGTATTATGAATAACTACGTGTCGTTGTAATTTTAGGTGGAATTCTTTTGATAGAACAAAGCTTTGAATGTACTTTAGGAAGTTTATACAGCTAGCATATACTGTCTAATAAAAGTTTTGAATACAACAATCGGGCTATATTTGGGAGATAGAGATCATGCGAAATGATTTCTCATTTTTCTCTCTTGGCGTCCACATTTGTTCACTATGGATCCCGCATCTCGGGAAGATTGTGAGGACTGATTGACTCGCTTGTCCTCAACACAACACTTTGGGGTTTTGAATTCGGTGATAATTTACTCGAAGTAAACTATATATGTTGAGATAAGCACATTAAATTGTTTTGTTTGACCAATTGGAACAGGCTCTAGTTAGGAAAGCCGAACAGGAAGTGCTAGATATGCTTCCAAGATCAGTGGAGATTGTAATTGGGGATGTGGGCGAGCCCTCATCTTTGAAGACCGCTGTGGAAGGCTGCAACAAGATAATCTACTGTGCAACTGCTCGTTCCACCATCACCGGGGATCTCAACAGAGTTGATCATCAAGGGGTGTACAACGTTACCAAAGCATTTCAGGTTTGCTTCGTGAAAGCTTCTCTTTTTCTCCTTATCAAAGCTGGCATTGATTAGTCTATGTTTTGTTAGATAATATGCAAACTTGGAAAAGCATGGGATTAGTCCACGACGATTCTCATTTCTAGTCCTGTGCAGGATTACAACAACAGACTTGCACAGCTACGAGCTGGAAAAAGCAGCAAAAGCAAGCTCTTGCTTGCAAAGTTCAAATCTGCAGAATCATTGAAGGGTTGGGAAGTCCGCAAGGGAACTTACTTTCAGGATGTGGTTGCTGCAAAGTATGATGGAGGGATGGATGCTAAGTTTGAGTTTACAGAGACAGGAAATGCTGTTTTCTCAGGTAAGGCTTGTGGCACGCTTATATCAGGTTAACTAAGATATAAATCCTTTTCCATCAATTTCTTCTAATAAAGCAGTTCATGAATGCTTATTTGTTTTTGGGGTTGTTTGTGGTGTATCCCCTTGGTTTAGAGTTTCTGATGTATAGGATCGTTGGGTTGGCAGGGTGTGTGCCTTGTAGCTTCTTTTTCTGTCCCTTTTCCCTATTTCTCATTGGCAGCTTACCCTTGTATACAGGATTTGTTCTTTTCCTCCTAATTAACTTTTGTTACTTCAAAAGAATAAAAAAGAATCTATTGTAGGGAAAAGTAGATATATTTTAATCCCTTTTCTATTTCTTCAAATCACTGAATGTTGGACAACTTTGGAATAGGCTTCATGCCTCCCATTCCTTCCTCTTTATTTCAACAAAGGAAATATGACAATACATCCTTGATATATAGATCCAATAGCTGAGACAGCAGCCCCTCCTCAAGCTGGTACTTCAATATCAAGCATACACAGATTATGAAGTATTAGACAACTAATACTTTCAAACAACCTTGGTAAGTATTATCAGCCAGTTCACTCTCAATCTTAACAAATGGTAAGCATACATCTTTGCAACATCCCTTTCATGGACAGAGTGCCAATCTACCTTAATATGTTCATATGGTCATATTGGTGGACAACGTTGTGAGCAATACTAATTGCTTTGTTTTTTTTTTTTTTTTGAGAAAAGGTATGTATTGTATTAAAGAAAAAAAAACACTCCCACTCTACACAGTAAGAAACTGTTAGTACAAAATAACCACCTGTACAAAAAGTGATGCTCAAACATTAGAGCTCTTCAGGTAACACAAGATCTGTTGACCTTCTCACTGGAGACTAGAGCTCTTGAAGTAGTCTTCTAAGCCACAATATTCATAAGCTCCACGATACCTGGCTTTGGGCTTTGCCTTTACATTTGACACGGTCGCCACAAACTATTTTTTACTTCTCAAATTAACAAAATTTTCACTCCCAAATGTGCAATACCGTTATGTAGACCTCTTGTCTACAATGAAACTAGGCCAGTCCACATCAACATATGCATCTACTTTCATATAACAATTCTTGCAAAACAAGAATAATTTACCTGATAAGATCTTCAGGTAACACAAGATTCTATTTACACCATTGAGGTGGGTAGTACAAGGGCTATACAAAAGCAAAAACTGACTTACCATACTAATTGCATGAGGAATATCTAGTTTTGTAAGAGATAAATATATAAATTTACCACTAGTTTCTAGAACTGGCTAAGATCTTCAATTGGATCACTAGTGAATATTCTAATCATCTAGCTTCAAGTTAGGTTCAAAAGGAATTTCTATTGGCTTAGAACTAAGTTTATTTGTCTGGTCAAAAAATGTTTCTATTGAGATATAAAAAATTACAAGGAAATACTTTAGGAAATCAAGATCAATTTCAGCCACTCCATGAGACATTGCTCTATATTCAGCTTCAGCACTAGACCTAGCCACCACATTCTGCTTTTTGCTTCTCCATGTGACTAGGTTTCCTCCCACAAAGGTATAGTAGCCACTGGTAGACTTCCTATCATCCAGTGATCCTGCCCAATCTATATCAGTATACACTTCAACCTTTAAATGCCCGTGCTTTTGGAACAATAAACTTGCACATGGGAATTTCTTAAGATATCTGAGAATTCTTTCTGCTCTAGGTGGGTGGTCTTAGGGGCATGCATGAATTGACTAAGAACACCCACTACAAGCAATGTCTGGCCGAGTGGAGAGATATAACAGTCTTCCTACAAGCCTCTAAAATTGCTTCACATCTTTGATGAATTCACCTTGACAATCACTTAATTTGTGATTAGGATCAATAGGAGAATCAACGGGCTTCACTCCCAATTTTCCTGTATCATATAATAGATCTAAGACATACTTTCTCTGAGAAATGAAGATACCCTTTTGTGAGCTGGCAACTTCAATTCGAAGGAAGTATCTCAAAGAACCTAGATCTTCCACCTCAAACTGAGTAGCAAGAAATCTCTTCAATTTTTGAATTTCATCTTTCCAATCACCAGTTAAAACTATATCATCAACATACACTATTAGGGTTGCAATTTTCCCTTCCCCTCTTTTCGTAAATCATGTATGATTGGATTGACATTGCTTGTAGCCTCTTTGCCAACTACATGGAATCTGCTGAACTAGGCTCTTGGTGATTGTTTCAGGCCGTATAATGACTTCTTCAACTTGTACACCTTTTGTTCATTACCTTGAGCCCGTAAACTAGGGGGTTGTACCATGCACACTTCTTTTTCTTCAAGATCACCATTTAGAAATGCATTCTTGATATCCAGTTGGTGAAGGTCCCAATCGAAGTTAGTATCTAAAGAAAAAAAACCCTAATGGAGTTCACCTTGGCAACTAGTGCAAAAGTTTCTGCATAATCCACCCCATACACATGAGTGAACCCTTTTTCCACTTAACGAGCATTATACTGCTTCATTGTGCCATCAACCCTATGTTTTACTATAAATACCCATTTACATCCAAGTGGTTCCTTCCCCTCAGGAATATCCACCAATTCCCATGTACCATTTTTATGCAATGCATTAATTTCTTCCTTCATTGCATCTGTCCATTTAGGCACTGAGAGAGCTTCTGCAACATTCTTAGGAGTAGGAATAGGAACACTGTCAATGGAAGAAAGGAATCCCTGAAAGGAAGGTAAAATGTTTTCATAAAACAAAATGGGAAATGGGGTGCTTAGTGGTGCAAGACCTAACACCCTTCTGGTGAGCAATAGGAAGGTCAAGACTAGAGGTATCAATAGCAGTAGGGTCAAAAATATCAATGGGAACTAAGGTACTTGGCTGGGTAGGATCTGTCCCCAGAGAATTTGATGGCATTGGTGGTACAACTTCTTGATGCTCCAAACTCTTGAACTTGGTTGGCCTTTGTGACGATGACAAAAAACATGAAAGGGAGGAGGATCAAGAAGAAGAGGGAGCTGAATCTGAGGCAGAGGAGGAAGCTAAACCTGTTTTTCCTCATGCCTACACTCCCCCCTTGAGGAGAAACATGAAAGAGAGTTTCACTTTCAAAAAAGGAGACATTCATAGAAACATGATATTTTTGAGAGATGGGATCAAAGAACTGGTACTCCTTCTGAGTTGTAGGGTACCTCAAGAAGATGCAAGGAATAGCACGAGGATTCAATTTCCCACGGGTGGGTGACAGGGTTTGGACAAAATAGTGACAACCAAACACACAGAGAGGAATAGACAAAAGAGGAGCCTTGGGAAACAGAAGCTGATGTAGAGCATTGCACTCTAACCATCGACAGGGCATGTGATTAATGAGATAAGTAGCACAAAGGATAGTCTCAAGCCAAAAACGTTTGGGGATACTCATATGAATCAATAATCCCCGAGCCATTTCAAGAAGGTGGCCGCTCTTTATTTCAGCTAAACCATTTTGTTGTGGTGTTCGGGCACAAGAGCTACGGTGGAGTGATCCACGTGAACCAAAGAACTCTGTGAGATCATTATGAAAGTACTCTTTGGCATTATCAAATTGGAAGATTTGGATTTTGGTTTGAAATTGGGCGAAGGTCATTCTTTAGAAATCTTGGATAATTTTTGGTACTTAATCCCTAGTTTGCATGGGATACACCCATATGTACCTAGAGTAGTCATCAATAAAGGCAATAAAATACTAGCCACTTTCAGATTGTAAAGTAACTGGGCCTCAAACATCATAATGAATAGTATGGAAAGGAAATTCAGATTTATTATTTTTTCAAGAAAATGAGTTCTACAGTGTTTACTCAACTGACAAGTTTGACATATAAACTCCGATACTAACACTAACTTAAACAACTCTGGAAACACAATCTTTGAGGATTCAAAGGATAAATGACCAAGACGACTATGCCATAAATATGCATGACTCTTAGACTCTGTGATTGCAAGACCAGCCTTATTCTCTAGGAAGTAGGCACCATCCACCATACGTTTTCTACCAATCATCTTCCTTGAGGCCAAATCCTGAATCACACAATAAGAAGGGAAGAAGGCTACTGAACAGTTTAATGAATTGGTGATACTACGAATGGAAAACAAATTGATAGGGAATTGTGGAACATGTAAAACATTAGAAAGGGTAGGTAGGACCAAAAGCAAGAGAAATGGTTCCTTGACCAGCTATGGTAGAGAATGAATCATCAGGCAGTCTCACTTTATCTCTTCTAGAGAGAAGATGATAGGTCCGATAGTAAGTAGACTTACTAGTCATATGTTTTAACGCTCCAGAATCAATTATCCAAGGAGAGTCAGAGGAATGAGACGATACATGGAGAGTTGTGGCAGAATTACCATATGTAGACACATATGAAGTTGATGGAGGAGCATCCATCTGATGAATTGCCCTACCATAAAGTTCTAAATGGTCACGGAAGGAATTAATGATATCCACCCTAGGGTCAGAACTAGAGGTGTATGTCTGAGCCGTAGTATTTGTTGGGGGCTGGTTTTGCTGAGTAGCCATGTTTGCTGTAGTGAGCTTTCTTGAACCTTGCTGTCCTAACTTGTTATTCAGATCTGAACCCTGTTTCTTACTCAATTCCTGAGCCCATTTCGGCTTCCCATGAAGGTCCCAACATGTGTCACGAGTGTGCCAAGACTTGTGGCAATGGGTGCACCATAATTTTTCTTTGTCATCCACCCTTTTTTGAGAGTCTCCCTTCTTAAAGGGATTTCCCCCATCTGTAACAACACTTCCTTTTGCTGCTAATACAACTGCATCTCCCCAAAATTATTCATCAGATTTCTAATACTTTCCTCTAATTGTACTAGAGCATATACCGCTTGGACAGATGGGAGATCCTTGCTTCCAAGGATCTGTACTCTAATGGATTCAAGCATAGGGTTCAGGCCAAGGAGAAGGGAAAAGAATCACTGCTGTGAAACAAGAGACTTATACGCTTTGGCATCTTTGTCACACTTCC